GTGCCATGTCACGCCTCTTGCTCTGCCATGCACATGATTGAGCAGCTGGCACGCCGCGCCCCCGCGCCACACCCCAACTCACACCTGCCTCCCGCCTGCCTGCCCGCCCTGCCCTGCCCGCAGCCAAGAAGTACGCCGCCTTCCTGGCCTCCGACTCGGTCATCAAGCAGATCCCGCGCCTGCTGGGCCCCGGCCTGAACAAGGCGGGCAAGTTCCCCACCCTCATCACCCACAACGACTCGCTGGAGAGCAAGATCAACGAGATCCGCTCCTCGGTCAAGTACCAGCTGAAGAAGGTGCTGTGCCTGGGCGTGGCGGTGGGCAACGTGTCCATGTCCGACCGCGAGCTCTACGTCAACATCCAGGTGCGGCGCGGCAGGGCACGGCGCTGGGGGCTGGGTGCTGGGTGCTGGTGACCTGTGGGGCGCGGGAAGAAGGCTCTCGGCCGCGCCCAGGCCTGGCCGCGCCCCGCCTTGGCAGACGTGGTGCCCGCCTCGGCGCCGGCTGCGTGCCGCTGTGCTTCACAGCTCTGCCCCCTCCCCCCACACACACTCACCTCCTCCCCTGCGCAGATGTCCATCAACTTCCTGGTGTCCCTGCTGAAGAAGAACTGGCAGAACGTCAAGTCGCTGTACATCAAGAGCTCCATGGGCAAGCCGTACCGCCTGTACTGAGCGGATGGCGGGTGCCGCCGCCCGCCGGCACGGCGCGGCAGCGGGAGGCATCCTGCTGCCTGCGCGGCGGCGGCGCCGGCGGCGCCAGCCCTGGCGTTCAGCGGCGTGGCGCGTGCGCCCATGGCGGCGGCGGCAGCTTAGGCTGCTGCTGCACCCGCCGGGCAGCACCTGCGCGCTCGCTGGCCCCATGCACGACTGCCGCTGGCAGCAGCCCCTTGTGGCGGCTGCCGCGGCGCCCCCTGCCGGCGCGCTGACCCGAGATGCTTCCTCACAGACTGACACAACCACCAACAGCTGGCTGGTGCATGAGAACACTCCCACCCTTCGCCGGGAGGCGCCAACCGGTCTGCTTGGGAGCCCTGTGGCCGCACACACGGTGCGGCCAGCGCAGGAGCGCTTGCTCTAGTCAAGCAAGTCGAGCTGTTGCCCTGTGAAGAGTACTGTAACCAAGCGAGACACAATGCGTTCACCAGCTTCACCAGGCTGCAGGTGGCACGACGCAGCCTCCTGGGCACCTGTCCCGTCGCCGAGTGGCGCCAGAACTATCAGTGGTACTGGTTGTGCTGGCGGCGGAGCCCGCCACCGCAACCCTGGAATTATCAACTGTTGTACAGATGTGTGCAGGGTTTCCCAGTCTGAGGGGAGCCCGTGCAGTGCAGAGCGAATGGCCATGCAAGGGGGTGCGCGGGGAGAGACACAGGAGGGTTCTGTGCAGAAGGAGAGAGTCTGACATTGATCACAGATGCTGCGAGAGCCGAAAACAAGGCAGAGAAGGCGAAACAGCCACACATGGGAACTGCCACTGGGCTCGCCGCAACACACGGCTGGGGTGGCTCGGCGACCTTCGCCGAAAAGTTTGCTTCATTTTCGCTCCAATCGCTCACATAAGGTGTCTCTTACTTGCCACACACGGCCCGGCTGCTCTGCACACCCGGCGCAGCTCCACCACTCATGGCCAGGAATCAGTAGGTGGGCTGAGCCTCCCATGGCGCTCATCAGCTGTTGTGGAAGGCACCAAAGCGTGTGTGGGGCACCGGGCGCTGCAAGGGGCCGCAGCCGGGCGCGCACCCACCCCAGCCTCTCCCTGCCTCTCCCTGCTGCCTGCAGGCTCAGCTAGTTCAGAACCAACAGGCAGCTCATCAGGGTCTATGCAACGCACATGGGAGGCCGGGCCGGAGGCCCTGGCCGGCCTCATGGGCTCGCTCCACCTGAACGGCGCCCACCACACAGCCACCAAGTCGATAGAACCACCCAACGAATGGCACCCAGCAACGAACGGCATGATGGCCCTCCCGGTGGGCGTGGGGCACGGCCTGCCCCCTGAGTTTGCCCACCTCGCAGCAGCAGCAGCGGCCGCCGCCGCGCCCAACGGCGGCGGCCAGTACCGCAACGGCGGCACGCCCAGCAA